TTAGGGTTTAGGGGTTTAGGGTTTAGGGTTTAGGGTTGAGGGATTTCCTGACATCGACATAGTCCATAACTAGCCCTGGCGTAATCCGGATAGCGTCTTTATCTTGTCCGTACATAACCGCAAAATAATCCCTGTAATCTTCATACAACCCCTGAATAGTCCCTGTATTGAAACCCTAAACCCTAAATAGTAGTCCCAGTATGTATACCCAAAACCCTAAATCATAGCCTTATACCCTAAACCCTAAACCCTAAACTACCGTAAGTCATACCTTTTGCGAGAGGACAGCTTCGCGAAGAATGTTTGCAAAAACGCGGCGAAGCCCGGTGCGGCCTTCAGCTGGGAGCTCAGTCCATGACTCCAACTTCTACATGGGATGCAAGGTTAAGGGTTTAGGGTTTAGGGATTTTGGGTTTAGGGATAGATATATATATATATGTATGTGTGTATATATATATGAGCAATAGTCTAAACGCCTTAAAGGGGGCTATGTAGGGGATCATATAGGGGACTATTATAGGGCTTTTAAGGGGGTTACTTGGAGTTTAGACTATGGCTCATATATATCTTCATATATTTCCACACATAGTCTAAACCCTAAACCCCAAACTCTAAACCCTAAATCCAAAACCCTAAACCCTAAATCCTGAAACCGCGTGCGAGCATGGCTCATGCCGAGGCTTTAAGGTGTCACCGGACACCCCGTACGACCTCATGCTGACCCTCCCGCTGCTGGGTCCAAGCAGATGGTATGTAGGGGATATAGGGGTTTAGGGTTTATGATTTCTGGTTTAGGGGTTTGGAGTTTAAGGGATTTAAGGGGTTTAAGGGTTTCCGGGTTTAGGGTTTAGGGTTTCTGGGTTTAGGGTTTAGGGTTTCCGTGTTTAGGGTTTCCGGGTTTCCGGGTTTAGGGTTTAGGCTTAGGGTTTGGGGTTTAAGGGGTTTGTTGTTTAAGGATTTTAGGGTTTAGGGTTTGGGGTTTAAGGTTTAGGGTTTGGGGTTTAGGATTTAGGGGTTAGGGTTTAGGATTTACAGGTTGGGTTTAAGGTTTAGGGGAACATCGAGGGATTTTTACGGATTTATATAGGGATGATACGCGGATTGTATAGATTTTTGGGTCTCATGTAAGTGTTGTTTGGGGAACATGTAGAGCTTATATACAGGTTATGTAGGGACTATATAGTCTTTGTACAGGGATTGTATAGGGACTAGACAGGTGTATATAGGGGGCTTGGCTGTTCAGGAGGCCTTTGAATCTACTGGATTGATAGACCCCTTCGGTGTTCTGGGCATGCATGTTGCAGGGTTTAGGGTTTAGGGACATGCGTCGGTACCGTTGTACAGAAAATGTGCGAAAACAACCTAAAGAGCAACTACTGCTACCTAAACCCTTGTAACCCCGACAATAAGCCCCCGGGGTATATGATCCCTATATCATCCCTATAGAATCCCCTGTATCATCCCAACATAACCCCTAAACATAAATCCTAAATCCTAGGCGCTAGAGCCGAAAACCCTAAACCTACGCCCTAAATTCAAAACCTAAATCCTAAACACAAAACCATTAAGGGTTTAAGGTGTAGGGTTTAGGGTTTAGGGACCATTATTAGTAGTTTCCATTTAGTTTTCCATTATCCCAACATTACCCCAATATCCCATTCCAGTAGCCCTAAATCCTCTAAGCCCTAAATTCTAAATTCTAAACCCTAATTCCTAAACCCTATATGGGCACAGGCTCGTGAAGCTTGGGGGCGATACCTCCTTCTCAGTGGAGGTGACGTCTGGCGTGGAAGCGACAGGCAAGGTTTGGTTTAGGGTTTAGAGTTTGGGGTTTAGGGTTGTTTAGAGTTTGGGGTTTAGGGTTCAGAGTTCAGGATTTAGGGTTTAGAGTTTGGGGTTTAAGGCTTAGGCTTTTGTGCTTAGGGTTCTCAGAATTTGGGGTCTTAAGCCCAAGCTGCAGGGTTTCCAGGGCTGAGGGGGACGTGAAATTTCTGGGAAGCCTGCATTCCAAACTTTTTGGAGGAAGCGGGCTGCCTTGAAACATTTAAGATATTAGGGTTTACATTGGGTCATTCCCCCTCCCAGTAACTGTCCTTAAAGGGGCCTTATTGAGGGGGTTCTTATAACTCCTACAAGCCATTGTGGTAACAGTTACTATAAGGGGGAATGACCCCAGGTTTAGAGTTTAGGCTCTAGGATAGTACAAGTCCCTGTGGCAAGTCCTCAGCTTGCATCTAAAGCGCGTTGGGAGCTAACCCTCAGTGCTAGGAGCCATGCTTCAGCAGCAGGCTTGCAAACTCATGCACTTCTTGTAGGGACAGGCCCCTGAGGTATACAATGTCTATTTAATCCCTCCATAATCCCTTTTCAATCCCTGTTCGTGTCAGGCAACAACACGCTGGCTTCTTCCAACAAGCAAGTGCTTAACTGGGTAGCCACCTCCATCATGGGCTCCCAGGTCGGCAACTACATGGGCTTTACAAGCGTGGTTTAGGGTTTAGGGGTCTAGGGTTTAGGGGTTAGGGTTTAGGGAGTGTATATAAATTATAGGGGTTATATGGGGATGCATCCTATGGGGTATGGTAGGGATTATAGAGTCATATGGGGATTATGTCAAAGTTGGTTATGGATCTCAGAAAGTGGTACCGTCCAGGGGGGAACAAGTGGGAAACTTTTCTTGTGGGTTGTCTGCTTAACCCAAGCATGGATGTCATTTCATGCCTCTTCGCTTCAATGATGTTGCGTCTTGTCAAAACCGCCTCACAGCCACATAGCCAAGGCTGTACAGTACTTACAAAGGACGCCCCCCTATTGAGGATTCTATAGTGAAACCAGGGGGGGTTCCTCGTCGAGCGTCTTTGCAATCAAAAGCTATCCTCCTCCCAAAGTAACATGCAACCTGAAATAGGCCCCATCTGAAAGGATAGTAGTCTGGACAGGGCCACTTCTCGGGTTCCATGCTATTTTGGTGGAGGGGAGCATTTTGATCACTGAAAGGGCCCGCGGGCTTGAGATTTGCGCAGATGGGAAGGGCAATCGCAGATTATTTCTCGTTGGCACTCTGGGACAATCACTAGTTTTCCCGCATTGTTACATGAAGGAAGCTATTCATAGCTACTCTTGGGGGCTTTCAACTAGCAGCCAGATTCCTTTTTGAGCACAGAGAGGGCTGCTAGGCCAAAGAATTCAGATGTTAGCTTTCCCCTGTTCACCGACCAGGTTTCTGGCTGCAATTTTGCAGTGCGTTCTTGCATGGAGTGACGCGGCTTAGGGTTTAGGATTTGGGGTTCAGACTCCAGGGGAGAGTACTTACAGACTCCAAAAGGCCACCGAAGAGTAACTCCACATTTTCCTAAGAATTCCCACGTGCCCTCACATGCACCCTCCCTTCTTGCGGATTGCTGATTAGGACATGTATGTCAAGCAATGCAAGAGCCACAACCTGCTCGTGGAGCAGAAGGGTAGTCACAGCGTGCCCTCTGTCCATGCAGAGATCCTCGACCGTCCTTGGACGTCCCCAACATAAACTTCCTGGTTCTCAGTAGGGAATAAGGGAAAATATTTCCTACATAATTCATGTATAAGACTAACTCTAAACCCTATATATATATATATAATTCTCTACCCAGAACCTGTAAGATGAAGTATCTGGTATATTCCCTCATTCCCTAGGTAAGTGAAGGGGCCTCTTGAAACCCAAAACCCTAAACCCAAAACCCCCAACCCTAAACCCTAAATCCCTAAACCCTACATCCCAAAGCCTAAATCCCAAAACCCTAAACCCTAAACCCTAAACCCTAAATCCCAAAACCCAAAACCCTAAACCCTAAACCCCAAACCCAAAACCCCATGAGCCCTGCTGCAGGACACAGTGAGCGGAAAGTGGCTCAGGTCTGCCTGGTCTAAGCAGGCCTGGGTTAAAAGGTAGTTTCCCAAAATTAGGGGTACCCCTTTGAAGCGCCTACAATAACAACTATAGTATTTTTGGGTCTATATTGGGGTCCCCTTATTTTGGGAAACTACCATATTGGGGCGGTAATATCAGGGGTTATATAGGGGTAATATGGGGATTCTATAGGGGTAATGTAGGGATTATGTGATGGTAATATGGGGATTATATAGGGGTAATAGAGGGATTACATAGGGGTTCTATTGGGGTTACATAGGGATAAGGGAAGAGAAAATGGAAACTGCCATATGATAGCGTAGATATTTATAGAGGTTCTATGGAGAAACGGACGTTTAAGGTGAAGGGTTTAGGGTTTAGCGTTCAGGGCTCGGGGAAGTTGAGCACAAAATGGAAGCTACCAACTTTTTGGGGGCTCAGGGCCTAGGGTTTATGGCAGATGCTTCGGGTTTGAGACTCGTTTGGCCTTCAATTCAAGATTGGGAGTTGTGGACATACAGAGTAATGGCAAGTTCATGTGTACCATAGACTAAACTCCTTAAAAGGGGTTATATAGGGGATTATATAGGGGGACAATAAGGGCTATTAAGGGGCATTCTAGGAGTTTAGACACTGGCTCATGTAGTCCGAAACTCAGGTACGGACGTGTTGCTGTGTGTTACCAGCTAGCTCACAGGTTGCTTTTGAAAACTGGCTTCCTATGCGCATATACCATCTAGTGGGGTTGATGTAAAAGTGCTCATAAGCGTGACGCATTCCTAGCCAAACGACTCTGTGCTCTCCAAGTCCTACATAGAACCTCACAAGGGCCCTTGAAAGGGGCTGCTTTTCAGGTTCCCGTTGTGGGGATGAGTAATCCGCACCAAGGCACCCACCCCCAGCCGTATCTCCCTGACATCTACTGATATTTTTTCGGAGTCCCCATGTAAGGATTAGGGCCTAATTGGGTCCATACTAATATTGGGTTCAATCCCAGTTCCCCTTTGATTGGCCATTTTCTTTTCCACTTGATGTCTATTATCGGGGTAGTGATATCCCTAAACCCTATATACGCTTATGCATGGTAGGTTGTGAATTCTTGGAGGCTGTGGCAATGAATGGAGACTTCCGCTACGCTGTGGTTGGAGTCTTGAAAGTTGCCTTGTCCGAGAACGCAGAGGACATAAAGGGCTTCTTCAGGGGATATACAAAGATTACATAGGGATTCCAGGGAGATTTTTGCGATAGAAGTATAAATATAAATACGTATATACATACATATATTCATTTATGGGACTATGTAGGGTTCAGGGATGTTACCGCAGTAATGGAGACCCAAATGGACAAGAACATAGACCCTGAAATGGAAAGCGTGATTCTAGGGGGGCTGCGTCAATGCCCTATCCCTAAACTGCGTAGGTTTGGGCTTGCAATTTATGCATCACTTTGAATGGTCCCTGTGATCGGACCTTTCCTTGAATTCAACTCAGGACAGTCCTCCTTTTGGTTTGGGGTTTAAGGTTTAGGGTTTAGGGTTTAGGGTTTAGGGTTTAGGGTTTGTTTCCATGTCATTACCCATTTGAGCTACTGTCAACATTAGGCTTACCAAGCAACCATTCCGACGGGTGGAAAAAAGGGCTCCTTTCGTAGTTTAGTATAGTTCTTAATATGTTCCCTTATAAGGACGGGTAATCATTGACTGCAACTCATTTGATTCTCCATGATTGGGCAGTATCCCGAAACCCTATATAAACCCTAAACCCTAAACCCTATAGAATTCCCATAGAATTCTTGTGGATAGGAATCCGCCCGTCCTGCGTGCTCTACACATCTACCCGCCGCCGCACCTACTCCTGCGACCCTCCCTACAAGTAGGATGCGCTCCCACTATACTACTGTTGATGCATGTTTCGGAGTTTAGGGTTTAGGGTTTAGGGTGATGCATGAAATCCTACACCACCTTAAGTCCCTAAAGTCCTAGGAATTACAGTAGTTTAGGGGCTCTAAGTGGTGCAAGATTGCTTCCATGAACAGTAGTTTCCATTTTCTTTTCCATTCCTTCTAAAGCGTAAACCTATATAATCCCCTATATAAACCCATTATAACCATTTTAGTAGTTTCCATTTTCTTTTCCATTCCTTCTAAAGCGTAAACCTATATAATCCCCTATATAAACCCATTATAACCATTATGGTAGTTTCCATTTTCTTTTCCATTCCTTCTAAAGCGTAAACCTATATAATCCCCTATACAAACCCATTATAACCATTGTGGTAGTTTCCATTTTCTTTTCCATTCCTTCTAAAGCGTACACCTATATAATCCCCTATATAAACCCATTATAGCCATTATAGTAGTTTCCATTTTCTTTTCCATTCCTTCTAAAGCGTAAACCTATATAATCCCCTATACAAACCCATTATAACCATTATGGTAGTTTCCATTTTCTTTTCCATTCCTTCTAAAGCGTAAACCTATATAATCCCCTATATAAACCCATTATAGCCATTATAGTAGTTTCCATTTTCTTTTCCATTCCTTCTAAAGCGTAAACCTATATAATAGCCCATTATAGTAGTTTCCATTTTCTTTTCCATTCCTTCTAAACCCTCGACCCTATATCATCCGCAAAATAGTCCCATATATAAACTCATCATAGTAGTTTTTATTTTCTTTACCATTCCTTCTAAACCCTAAACATCCCTAAACCCTATATAATCCCCTATATAAACCCATTATAGTAGTTTCCATCTTCTTTTCCATCCCTCCCATGCCATGCAGTCATATCCAGCTTACACGGACCGCGCTCACAACTGCAATCTGCAGACTGCTATAGGGGTATATTGGGGGTTATGTAGGGGATATAGTGGGATAACGGAAAACCAAATGGAAACTACAACTTACGGTTAGGCTTGAGGGGTCCGAGCTTTATTTGTGGAAATGAGCTTGTTTGCCTGCTGCGACAGGAGATGTACGACGAAGTTCCAAGCTTAGTCTCTTCTTGGCATGTGTTGGCTTGCTGTCCTCTAAAGGACACGGTCGTGGAAGTCTTTTCTCAACATCAATGTGCACCTTCATACCCTCACTCTCTCCACTATGAGGCAAATAGCCCCAAACAGCGAGAATTTTGAGTCAAATCATGGTAAACCCATCTGAGGTGTAGTCTAAACTCCTGGCATCCTCCTTAGTAAGCCCCATAATAGTTCCCTACATAATCCCCTATATAGCCCCCTTTAAGGAGTTTAGACTACAGCTCGTTTGTTCCATCCATCTGTCCTGTCGTGCCCAAGTTGTGCGTTCGCCCGAAAGAAGTGGATGGCTATCTCCTCACTGAGCATTCCTTGACCAGGACCATGGTTTAGGGTTTAGGGTTTAGGGTTCAGGAATTGGGGTTTATTGCTATTACTTAGGGTTTGGGAGATCATTCTGAGCTTAGGAATTGGGGTTTATCGCTATTACTTAGGGTTTGGGAGGTCATTTTAAGGCGTAGAGCTGTAAAACTTCTGCGATGAAGGAATTTGAGAACCCCCTAAGTAATGGTAATTGTTTTTGGGCGTGAGGGCTTCGGCTTTAGGGTTCAGGGTCCTGGGTTTCTTGATAGTCATGTGAAAGTAATGGTGGCAATAGTTAGAGCAAGATTTGGTAGTTTCCCAAGAACAGGGGACCCCAATATAGACCCCAAAAGGCACAAAATGCTATAGTCCTTATTATGAGGACCCCAATGAGGTAACCCTAAGTTTTCGGAAACCCTAGACCCTAAATAGTAGCTTCCATTTTCTTTTTCATTATCACTACATAACCCCTATATAACTTGGGTACTGAACCCCCCTTCACTAACACTTGGATAATAATTATAATATGGTTATATATAGCCCTTAATAGGACCCCTAATATAGACTGTTACTGGGGGGGGGCAGTACCCAATATATAACCCATGTAACCCTATAGAACCCCTCTAGTTTGGGGTTGCTCGGAGGGTGCCTCGGCAAGTTGTGCCATATGTTCTGTAATCTAAACTCCTTAAAGGGGGGTTTATATAGGGGTTTATATAGGGGATTATATAGGGGACTACTATAGAAAAAAATACTAGCTGTGTAGACTATGGCTCATATGTTCAGCAAGGTGTACAACGCGGCCCCAGATTTTGAGCAAGACCCGACTTTTCTGTGCTGCACCCCAACAAGGCCGCACCTGGAACCCTAAGCCCCTTAGCCTAAGCCCTGAACCCACCAGGACCAAGCTCGACATCACAGCCAAGTGCGCCACAGCATCTCGACAGCAAGCCCCCAAAGACTCGACTCTGCAGCAGTAGGGAAGTTTCTTGCACAAAGATCTATGCATTATTCAAAACACTATATTATATTATACTATATTATACTGTCTCATACTATAATAAGGTATGTATCTGGGTTATATAAGGATGATGGAAAAGAAAATGGAAACTACAATAGTATCTAGTAAACGGTCCGATCTACATTGGGGCCGGCGCTACCAGCGGCTCTGCTTGTCAGGGCTACAAGGGCAAGCCGGAGATCAAGGATTGCGTGGATGACCACGAGCCATACAGGCGGCTTGCTCAGCGGAGCTGTGGAGGTTTTCAGAAATCCAGGGTTCCTGGTTGTGGCTTCCAAGAAAGCTGCACACATATTATTGGAGCTATAAGACTTCAAGGTCACCTTCCGGAGGTTTTAATGTTTATGTAGAGAACGTACACAGCAAAATTTGGACGCATACATTGCTGCAATGTAACCCCTATACAACCCTGATCTATATAGCAGTTTCCATTTGATTTTCCATGTTCTTTTCCATTTGATTCTCCATTATTGGGGCAAAATATCCCTAAACCCTAAACCCTCAATAGTAGTTTTCATTTTCTCTTCCATTATCACTACATGTATCCCTACTTAACCCCTAGGAAATTCCCACCATACTTAAACCCTAAACTCTTAACCCTTATGTAATTTACCCCTAGATTGCGCAGCTGCATGGTAGCTCAAAAGCTTTGGAAGTTGCAGTCAGAACTGTGTTGCGCACTTGGGACCCTAAACCCTAAACCCTAGCCTCTGGGTTTAGGGTTGAGGGTTTCGGGTTTAGGGTTAGACCCTAAGCCCCTGGGACCCTAAACCCTAAACCGGTATGTTGGGATGATGGAAAAGAGAATGGAAACCATTATAGGATAATGGGTTATATATAGGGGTTAGATTGGGATAATGGAAAAGAAAATCGAAACCATTATGGGATAATGGGGGGTATATATAGGGGTTATATTCGGATAGTGGAAAAGAAAATGGAAAACTAAACCCCTGGACCCTAAACCCTAAACCTTTGAGGCTTTCCGGTTGCAACCCTTTGGTCTGTACTTCGCCGGACGAACTCGAGGGGTATACCACGCCTGGCACTCGGAGTTTGATGAACCTGCGTCTGCTTGGAGGGTCAGGGGGACTTAGCAAGTAGGGGAGTGAGGGGGAGAACTCGGGTTACTATACATGTATGGGTTATATGGGTTATTAAGCTACTTACTAACTCCCCCTGACTCTCCAAGTGCACACATTGGCCCTAGAGTCTATACGCTTAAAGACGCTTTTAGCCTGCTGGGTTTTAGGGTTTCGGGTTAGACCCAAAACCCGAAGCCCCAAGGAATGAGAAAAACATGCAGATTCTCTACTTCGATGTGGATGTAGCTTGCTGCTTGGCTTGGAAGAGCAAAAGCACAACCAAAGGGTTAGGGCTTGGCGTTTAGTGTTTAGGTTCAGGGATCGCAGTGGGTGTGCGATCTATCTTCATCATTAGGGTTTAGGGCTTGGGGTTCATCATGGGATGCCTCAACATCCCTACCCCAATAATGGAGAATCACATGGGCAATGACATGGAAACTGGGGCCATATGGGCCCTATAGAAGTTGACTATTCCGTTGCTTCTCCATTATTTGGGGTTCATCATCCCTATGGTGCCATCTAAACCCTAAACCCCAAACTCTAAACCCTAAACCCCAAACCCTAAACCCTAAACCCTAAACCCTAAACCCTAAATCCATGGTTCCATTGGTTGTATTGTGTTGTTTGTGCTAAGGCAAGGCTGGTTACGAAGGCGATCCCAAGGTGACCAAGTGCAGTGGGGACGGCCAGCCGTACAGCGTGACAGGATGCAGGCTCAGGGGGTTCTTCCCTTGTGCCTTGTGCCCTTAGGGTTTGTTCCCTTGGGGGTTTGGATCCCTAAGCCATGGAACCTAGCCCCCAACTAGGGTATTAGGTTCCCAAGATCCAAGATGACAAGCCATTAGGGTACAAAGTTTGAGTCTCTGACAGGCAAACGACGACCACTACAAGCACCACAACAACAAGCACAACAACCACCACAGTTACCACGACGTCCACGACGACCACCACCTCGACCACCACCACGACCACTATTACCAGCACTTCGACGACAACCATCACCACTACAAGCACTATCACTTCCACCACTACCACCACAACTACAAGCACCACAACCACAACAAGCACTCAAACTTCCACCACTACCACGACGACTACAAGCACAACCACCACAACTGTGGTGGAGTATTGTAGATCACCGAGTGATGAGCCCGCGTACACGGTGACGGAGACTAGTCTGGAGGCTCCTCAGTTTTGTACCCGTCCTTGAAGGGCCTGTGGGTTCCATTTGTGGAGTCTGCAGGGAGCACGTTGAGTCTTACGTGGGTTCTACAGGTTTACATGCAAATCTCAATTTGGATCGATTAGAAGTAGGTTAGAGGGCAACATGGTTGTCTGTCGCTAAGGGGTTTTGTGATTCGCGAAATCTGCCTTCATGCCGAAGGTATTCGTCGTAGCAACAGCGCATTAGCGGCTAGGAATGGTGATGATCAGGCCGGAGAAGTTTTGTTTCTGTTGCTCCCTGAGGTGCTCACCTTCAATGTCAAAGCCAAGTGCAGTGCTGGCTACATGGGCACACCTGAAGTGTCAGTTGGGCACTTACATGCAGACACATGCAGAAAATAGAGCCCCGTTCTGCCTGTTGCGAGTCGTTACAATAAGAATAATAGTAGTAGGAATACTAATAATCAGAACAATAACAGTTATAGTAGTAATACTAAAACACACTACTAATAATAAGAATATTCATAGTAATATGAATGATAATACTAATGTGAATATTAATAAGGATAATAATAGTAATACCAAGAGTAGCATAATTCGGGGACGTGACTCTCAGAGCTGAGCCTTGCAGGTCTGCAAAGCAGGTGATCGTCCTTACGCCTTGAAGGGTTGCAAGAAGAAGATTTGTCAAACACCGGCTGACGTTGCAGGCTACCAGCTGAAGCTTGCTTTGACTTTGAGACCAGTGGCAGACATGTGCTAGTTATCTTGTGACCCATGCACAGCGAAGGGGTTGAGGGGTAGAAGTTTCTATGGTCGCTGAGGACAGAGACGGACATGTCCATGGTTGCCTTTGACGTCAAAGCCTCCTGCGACAACTTCTACCATGGCTCCAGCCCAAAGGTCGAGGTGTGTGCCGACGACAAGCAGAAGCTGCTTGGCTCTGCTAGCTCTCAAATCCCAGATTTAGTACTATTCCTATCGTTACTATTATTATTACTATTCCTATTTTAGTTATAGGAGGTTGGCCGGTACCGGCGTCACAGTATCAGAACTTCCGGTAATGTTTCGGCGATGCGTGAAGAGCATGACATGCCCGCTGCCCCATTGATGCATATGTTCATTGGTTGACTTCTCTCTCTGCTTCCGAGGTATTTCCTCAGTGGTTGCAACATAGATGTTTGTACGTCTCCAAGTGACACCACCGGATACACTGTGACTGAGACGAAGCTCACTCGGAAAGGCTTTGCAGTTACAGCCAAGTGCGCTGCGGGCTACACTGGCACTGCCACAGTGTCGGTGTGCAGCGAGCACAACCTTGAGTATTCAATTAGTGGCTGCGAAGAGACGACCACAACTACGTCAACGACGACAACAACTACAACCACCACAAAGACCTCCACAACGACCACAACGATCACAAGCACCTCAACCACGACTTCTACAACAACGACAACGTCCACAACCACTACCACGATTACCACAACTGTCACCTCCACAACGACAACGACGACCACAGCCACAACCACCACCACGACCACCAGCACAACGACTATCACCAGCACCAGCACCACAACCATCACAACAACGACTACTACCACCACAACAACGACCTCCACATCGACTCAGACAACAACAACGACAGAAACAACCACGTCAACAACCACCATTACAACTACCACGACTTCCACCACCACGTCCACAACCACTGAGACGACCACAAGCACAATAACCACCACCACCACATCCACAATTACCATAACCAGCACCACCACCACCACGACATCAACCTCTACCACCACCACAAGTACCACCACGAGCACTACCACCACCTCAACCACAACAACCACGACCAGCACCTCTACTGTGACAACGACAACCGTGACAACCACCAGCACCATCACCAGCACTACCACAACCACTACTACAAAAACAAGTACAACAACGACCTCAACCACGACAACCACTACTACCAGCACCATCACAACCACTGTGACAAGTACCACAACGACCACCACATCAACCAGCACAATCACAACGACGACTGCGACAAGCACAACTACCACAACCACTTCCACGTCCACAACAACCACCACGACCAGCACGATCACGAGTACATCTACGACTAGCACTTCTACCGTCACAACGACCACATCGACCAGCACTACCACGACGATCACATCCACCACTACGACAACCGTGCTGGAGCTTCCAGGGTTCTAACCTGACGAAGAGTTGATTTTGTGGCAAGGTAGTTTGTTCCTGCTATTAGAGTGTGTGTTTGTCTGTCTGTGTGTGTCGTTTCATTGTTTGGCGCACGACCGTCCACAGTAAGTTTTCTCTTCCATGTGAGCCATAGTCTAAACTCCTCTTATTCCCCTTAATAACCCCTGAAGTAGTCCCATATATTACCCCCTATGCCTTTAAGTAGTTTAGACTGCAGCAGATCTTCATTAGAGGAGATCTGTTTGGCTCCAGAGGCAAAGGGAACCTTGTCTGGAAAGAGACCCTAATGATTAGGGTTTAGGGTTCAAGTTTTAGTGTCCTCATAAGTAGCAATTAAGGAACTTCAACTGGGGGGTATATAGAACATAAAGAGGCTGCTCCGGGATTATGCCAAGATTACATAGGGATTACCGGGATATAGGATTCTGTAGGGTTTGGGGATGTTACCCCAATAATGGAGAATCAAATGGAGACTAAGAAGGAAACTGACATGGCAGAACCCTAAACCCTCAACCCCAAACCCCAAACCCCTAACCCTAGACCCTAAACCCATGGAAACTGACATGGAAGCTGGCAATATAAAGCGGAGGGCCGAGGTTTGTTTCAGCACGCATAGAAGTTGGGGAGAATGTGAGCTGTAGTCTCACTCCTTAAAGGGGGTTAATGACATGGAAAATGACTAGTATCCAAACTGGGAGCGAAAAGGGAGCGTAAACCCTCCACCACTTTGAGCTTCAACTCCAAACGCTTAGCTGGTCCCTCAATATCCCTCAATTAGTGTCGTATGTTCTCTAAACCCTGAGCCCTGGGTCCTGTTGTTGATTGCAATCCAAACCGTGGCCGGGGAGCAAATGGGAGCTGGAACTGGTTTGATGTTCAAACATGTCGCATCAGCAGTTTTAGCATGGTTCCACTTCCTCTCCAAGACTACTGGCTGTCTTGTAATCCTCTCCCCCTAGTATCAAACGCCTGAATTCTCACCATTGTGGTATGTTACAATATATGGGGCTTTTGGGGGGGGGGGGTGTTGATATTAAGGGGAGGGATTACCAATAGCAGCGTAACTCTACATCAGCTTGGTAGACTTTCCTAGTCCTAGAACTTACTCATTGTGCTCTTCGGGTCGAAGCACTTGAATGAGATGTACTGAGCCAAGCCTGGTGGGACCTGCCAACATGTGAGTGTAATAGTATATAGTATAGTAGATTCCATTTTATTTTCCNNTAACCCCAATGTACCCCCAATATAACCCTAATATAACCCCAGTTGACTGAGTCATCTTCCTGGATGTGTTCACTTCATCATTCCACTGCTCTTTCTGCTTGTTGGGAAACACTACGCAGCAGTTTGGGCAGAAGTGGGGACCAGATTGTAATCAAGGAGTTGAAACGAGAATAGCAAAGCCCCCTATTTGTTTATGTCGGTTGATGAGGTTTCCTGCGTGAGTTTGCGAATGACCGAAGAAATTCCTGTTTCAGTTGCACGAGCTGTGGACCCACGAACCCAGGGCGCTGATGCGCATGAAGGAGGGGTCCCATAAACCCTACACCCTGTTAGCCACAGTCGAAGCCATTCGCTGAGACAGACCAAAGGTGGTTTCCCTAAATAGGCGAAGGCCAATCTAGAACCCCAAACAGTATAACCCTTGTTATAGGGACCCGCAATAAGACGCCCCAAATTGTACGGTGCCTACTTTTAATTATAAGGAGGGCGGCCAAAGGCTGGTGCCCGCAGAGGTAGTATAAAACATCTGTTTAAATCCGGATGTTTAAAAGTTGGTGCCAGGCTCTGAGACAGTGGGCCTTCCAACCTTCCAGCCCTCCAACCTTCCAACCTTCCACCCTTCCCGCCACTCAAACCCTCCAGCCCTCCAACCCTTCCAGCCCTCCAACCCTCCAACCTTCCAACCCTCCAACCCTCCAGCCCTCCAACCCTCCAACCCTCCAACCTTCCAACCCTCCAACCCTCCAACCCTCCAACCCCCCAACCTTCCAACCTTCCGACCCTC